AGCTGAAACGGCAAAGATCCTCCCGCCAAACAACTACGATTAAAGCCCGGAGGCAGCATTGGCACCAGCGGCAGCGCTTGCCGGAGCAGCTTTCGGTTCGTTCGCTGCCGGTGGCAGAGATGAACTGGAAAAATCTTCACCCGAGGCCTGCAGAGGCTCTAGAAGCTCATTGGGCTTCGCGGCCTCGTCAGGAGTTTCGTTTGGCGGCGGATGCTCCGTGCTCACGTCCGCCTCTTGCTCTCCTGAGGGCTCCTCTGCGTCAAGCTTCTCAGAGCCCTGGTCGACATCGTCTGTCGCAGGGTCTGGCTGTAGCTCTGAAGACTCGTCCTCCACCTGCTCGCCATCCGGCGACGGCGGATCCTCCATGGCTTCTAGCCAAACATCTCACGGCATCTTGCGATGCGGAAGTGCAAATGGCTGTGGGTATCATGTGTGACCCTCAAGTTTTGTAGAAAGCATCCGAGGTCGTCCGAACCCAGTGGAAAAAACTTGCCGAAGGCCCCGGCAACCAGTGTACGGTCTCACGTGCGGGTCTTGCAAAGAGTTCGGGCTGCGCAAGAACACAATGACGCACCAGTAGTCTTGCCAGCTAATTTAGGCTTTCCCCACTCATGTCGAATCTTCAACGAAACCTTTCGAGAAGTCCTTTCGGTACTCCAAGCCCCCCTTCGTAGGTGCAAAGCAACTGCTGCTTTGAGCATCCAAAGAGTCTCAAAACCCGGTGGCCCTAGGTGGGGGCTCTAGGCGCACCTGGAGCCTTCCGAGCGCCTGCCGGTTCAGGCGCTTCATCACCAGATCCTTGGCTTCGATCTCAAGCCGGGTGCCTAGGGAGCTCTCCTATAGACTGTGGCCGCTGCATCGCGATAGTTCAGCGTGGCAAAGCTCCTCCAAATGGAGAATTTGTAAGATACTGCCGACAGTGCCACTGGAACCAGCTCAACCCTGCCACAGCACGACTTCACGAAATCGCTCCAGGCACTGATGGCAAGGTTCGCTGGGCTGAACTCTTCCATCTGCGAAAAGAGCTGATGACAAATGCCTGCCTGGGTGCGCACAAAGAGCACTAATGGGTTTTAGCCACGGCCCCTTCGTGCTGTAGGCCCCGAGCCAGGAGGCGGTTATCGCGGTGATTGAGCCTGAAATGATATCTCAGACCGTCTAATTACCGGGGGATCGCCTGGCAAAATACAGCATCTTCTGCTTTCGCTGAGGTGTCGACACGGCCAGGGACCAGCTGAGGTCCGTCAGCGCCTCCGAGAAGCGCAACAGCTTGCCCTTCGTACTTAGCTTGCTGTTTTGCTCACTTTTGCCTCCTCCAAGCCGGCCAAAGAGGTTTCTCAGCACTTCGACTCAGCTAGTGACGGCGCAGGCGGGATATGTACATGGGCCCGTACGGCGTCCGATCAGGAAGGATCAGTACCTTGCCATGGCAACGATGCAGTGCATCAACACTGACTTAGGCCAAGTTGGACTGCTTGCCGATATGTTCGTAATCCCAAGGCTGGGACGCCACACTGGGTCGCGTCAGCACCCTGCAGAAGCCGCGAAGCTTGATCAGGGAAGGCATCCAACGCAAAGTTTTGGCCGAACTTCTTCAGGAACTTGGACACAACACCTGGAGACTTGAGACGGAGCTTTGTCTTTCCTTTCTGTTTTTTGGCTGAGGCCGAGGCCATCATTCTCAGCTTCCGCCAAAGCACAGGTGACGTACAATACCAAGCCCCCAGGCTTCACCAGTGCAGCAGCTGCACGCAACAGCTCCTGATTTGACAGCAACGGCTTGCCCGACAAAAAATCCTGCAAGACCCTGTATGGAGCCGTCAAAGGACCCACTTAGCCGCAAGGCTCCAGCTGTCGCTCCGCATTGGCCTTGACAGCTCCAGCAGCCCAGTGTGCCAAAGCCGACGCTCCTTGATGTACAAGATGGCGATCCTGACAAGAGAATCCTTCCAACGAACGACGATTGTTACTGGCCACGAAAAGCCTGGGGAAGAACCCAGAATTTCGGGGATCGGTGCAGCTTAGCATCAGAGGTGCAGGGAGCATCCACCAACACCCGGTCGAAGGGAGCCAGGCGCTGCAAAGGCACCGGGATGGATCCAGTGGCAGCATCGACATTGACAAGGCTGACACGCCCAGTAGCACCTGCAAGAAAGCAGACTGCACGCATCTGCAACCACCACAGTCCAGAAAACAGTCACACTGTGTTGTAAGATGCAGCTGGTGCCTGTAGCCAGCATCTCGGGTGGCAGAAACGAGGAGACCACTTTTTGCAGTCTCGCTAGCCGGGGGCGCGACATCTCGTTACAGATCAGCCTCCCAGATGCCTCCGGTCCTCATCTTCCGATTGCAACTCGAGCTTGAAAGTTCAGGCAAGCACGTGACTCGTTGCTGAAATCCATGACGAGGAACGCCTAGTTCATGCAGGATTCGATGCAACGTCTGCAGAACTCCATCAATGTCTATGTATGTATCAGTTCCCCTTCATACCCCAAAATTTACATTCCATCGCGAAATCCAATCTAGCCTGAGCAGCCTGCAAAGAGCAGCGACGCCAGCATCAGCGACTTCCCCCCCGGAGCTGCGCAAAGGTCCAGGACCGACGCTCCCGGCCCGGGCTCCAACAAAGCTGCCGCCAAAGCCGAGGCCCCGTCCAGGAAGTAACCTTGCTCTCAGACAGAACCATCATTTTTTCCCTTTTGTCATGACGGGCTGCCGGGAAGGACAGGAAGAATGGGTTCTGCTTCGCGCTGGTTTCACAATTGCCATCTTCCGGCGTCTGTCTTATCCTGGTGATCTGACGGTTGACGTGAAGCGAAAATGGCAGTGATGGCAATCAAACATGATGATGGTGATGATGATGATGATGATGAAAAGAGGATGAAGAAGATGATGGTGATGACGGTGGTGAACATGATGATGATTGATAAATATTGACAGTGATAATGATGATGATGATGATGATGACGACGACGGCGACAATGACGATGACGATAACGAGGATGATGATGATGATGATGATGCTGGCGATGGCTATGGTGGCGGTGGCGGTGGCAGTTAAAGTCGTGATTCATGATCTTCATATCGTGGCTGAGCACACATTCTATGCTAGCAATGATGACCCTCCCTGCTGTTCGCACAGTTGGTGTGGCTGTGGCATAGGTGTCACATCAAATTAAGAGAAGTTGTCTCGCCATGAAGATCGCACAGCTTCTTGGGTCCAATGGCCTCGCGCCTGCCATCTGCAAAAAGCAACCAGTTGTTCATCCTACATCATTTTCGCACAACGGGATTTTGGGCGGTCAAGGCGATCCGATTGCAAAACACGCTTTGACCCAAGAAGCTGTACGATCTTCATGGCGAGACGATTCCTCTTGCTTTGATGCGTTCTGCCGGCTATGAGAGGCATGTACCGGTGCATTATACATTCCGAAGCGCAGACATGCATGACTGTCAGTCTGTACAGTAACTAGCCATGTAGTTGATTTCCTGAGCCCTTAAGGGGCAGCCTTCGGGCATGCAGGCTTCACTTGACTTGACTTGACATCTGCGTCAGTAGTCACTATTGCTCGCGTTGCACCAGTGGTGCAGCTAGTACTTCTCTTACTCAGCACTGTGACTGCTACCTTACTATTCCCGTTTCAACTATCCCAAAAAAAGCGTTCCCACCCTGAAAAGCGAAATATTGACGGATGCTGACTGGCCAGGTCATGCCGACACTCGCCAGAGCGTTTCGTTTAGCACTACCAGAAACACCAATCTAACAGGGTGAGCTTAAGATCGAAAACAAGGCATAGAGGTTGCAAACCCTTTCGCTTGAGGTGGTCGTTGGGAATGCCCGGTTGGCTCAGTTCCTCCAAAGAATACTCTCACCCCTACTGAACATGAAAGAAGAAAATTTGTGTAGCATGAGCATGGCAAAAGACATGGAAGGAGGTCGGAGGTAGCCGGAGTTTCCAGCGAAGCCCTCGGCGCAAGCAGACCGTCACCATCCTGCAGGTCGCAGGGCTAACCTCTAACTCTAACATTCATGGAACCCGCGAAGCCGCGCCTCACCTGCCTCCCCTGCCTCGCCTGTCCTGATCAGCTTCGGCATCATTGGAACAGGACGAGCCATCTGCATTGACGAAGACGCAAGGTATCTCTTCATGCGGCTGCAGCCGCTGCAGCTGCGCCACGTCCTTGACAGCTCGTGTGGCAGGCGAACCGCTGGCCAGTCCATGTTACGAGCAGCTGTGTGAGAGTGGTCCTCACGCTGGAGCGACGGCAAGAAGGGGTTCACAAGCGCGACATGATGGACTGGCTGCCGCAGTGCGCGAAGAAGCTGGGGCCAGCGCTCCTTCCATGAAAAAAGAATTAGTGAACCGAGGTGTGCACCAAAGGCTTTGGATCTGCGCATGCCGTCTTTGTCTAGGCAACCGAGGCAGGTTGGTCCTTGCCGAAAGCCTTCGCATGGGTCGCTTGCCATCCCGTCTCCCCACGCAGGGACATGGCACATTTTGGACTGCGGCTGCAAGCTTCAAATACGGGTTTGGGAGCATTGCTGTTCAGAAAGGCCGTTGGCGCATGTCCTGAAGCTTAACCTACGTTTGTGAGGGCTTGGTGGATTGGCTTCGCGAGGCGCAAAAGTCTCTACAGAGTCACTCGGTGTTTCTGCCAGCTGCGGAATTCGGACCCAGCTCATTCTCGGCTGCAAGTCAATGCCGAGCATCAACCTGAAACCTTGTAAGGGCTATAACGAAGAACGCAGGGGCTTCTGAATTGCTTTGCATATAAGCTGACAGAAGTGAAAGACGTCTTTGCTAATGCTCGTGCCGCTGCTGCTTATGCTGATGCTTGCTACAACTATCTAACTATCTGTTGAAGCTCTTCTTACCGTCCTTCTGTCAAGATGACGGGCAGACGTAGTGCAACCTGGGCAATCTGCAAAACCCAACAACCGGCCAAGGCAAGTCCGAAAATCCGAGACCTTGACACCAAAACACATCAAAACACTTTTCCTGCATGTCCTTGCCTGCGCATCCAGGCGTGCGAGGTGGCGCTGGACGTCCGCAAGCAAGGCCAAGAAGCGCTGCGCCCGACCTTGACAATGAAGGCCCCCGGGAAAACCCGAACTGTCACCAGGCCCATAAAGCTAACAGTGCACATGCACCGGCTCTAACATTGTCTGACCTATGCTGGAAGTGTGCAAACAGCTGGCGTGGCCTTTTGCTTCAAGAACGCAGCCGCGGCTGGGCTTATCCACCCATCTAGAAGCTAGCCTGAACCAACTCTAACTTGCAGGACCACGGCAACCGAAAAACAAATGGTGCTCTCAAGAAAGCCTGGTCCTGCTGATGAGTTGGGCGCACCCCTATTGTTGCTCACAACAAATACGTCGCGAAGAGACTACCGCGCATAGAAATTGGGGACCAGCCCGGAAAAGCAAGTGATCTACCAGGCGGACGTCTAGCATCATGGGCTGTACAGAAACAAAGTCCAGACCTCCGACTATCGCCTTTGACACAAGGCGTCTGCCCTGCGCTCCTAGTCATGGCAGTCGCATCTCGAGTCTACCCCACTCAAGTTCTGCCCTGAAGGGGGAGGTGACAGCAGGGGGTGGGCAGTTGCTCCAGGGTAGGAAAGATATCTTGGGCCGAACCTGCAACGGCACGGTTCCTAGTTGACCCTAGTTAAAGGCCCAGCTCTTGGGCAAACTCGTTGCAGACTTCGTCTTCGAAGCTCTTGCGCTTGGATTCCTCAAGCTCCTCGCCTTCGCTCTCTGAGCTGCCACTTTGGCCTTGGCCTTCCTCGTCCAGTCGGGCTTCCGCTTCCTCGAGGGCACTTCTCTGGCCACCGAACTCGTAGTCCAGCTTCATCTTCGAGATGTTGCACTTCACGACCTTCTCCTCGACGGTGCCCTCAGCAGGCTTCTACTGACTTCCTGCACACTACACACGGCCGCACACACACGCCACCCAGAATTGGTGCCCAGCAGCTTTGCACGTCATGTAGGTCACGGTGACTGGCCGCGTCTGGCCCAGCCGGTGTGCTCGGTCTTCTGCTTGACGGTTGTCCTGCCACAGATTTGTTTCAGGGCCTCTGGTGTCCCATGTTAAGTTAATGGCAAGGATACGGCGGTCATCAGAGGTCGTGAAGCCGAAGCCACGGCTCCTGCGGGTTCCAGGACAGGTCCATCAGAACTACACGGTCCGCCGCCGTCAGGTTGAGACCCTGACCACCAGCCTCAAGGCAGGAACGGGGAAGTCGGACAGCAAAAACTGTTCTACCTAATGATGCCTGTCGGATTCGCTCCTGCCCCAATTCCAAGTGTAATCAGCCACGAAGATTTACTGAAATCCTGGCCCAGCCTTCAGCGAGGAGATGATAACATCAACTCCAGAGCCCTCCTTCTGGAAGCTGTCGACCGTCGCCTGTCGCTCGTCAATCTTGGTGGTACCATCCACCCGAACAAAGCGAATGTCCCGGGCCTGCAATCAGGGCAGTGGGACTCTATGTGTGCACAGGCAGGCTACTTGGACCACCCGTCCTCCAGCGCACTTCCTATGATGTCCAGGAACATGGTGAACTGAGAGAACACCAAAGTCTTGCGGCTCGCCTCACGCTGACCTCCAGCCACTCTTCTGGTAAGGAAGCCGGCAGAACTGCGGGAACACGACTGGAGATGGGGCTACAGTTACGCTCGAGGCGGCAGAGGCCGAGGGATGGATTGAGCTTCCGTGGAACACCTGACAATAATGACGTGCAAGAATGCTCATCATATGAAGGCTAAGGCTGCCGGGCTAGTGTTAGTATGACAAAGCAGCCTTTTTTTCTTCGCGGTTGTTAGTTTGATAGTAGCAGTAAGAGTAGGAAGTAGAATTTTGGTGGTGGTGGTGGTGGTGGTGGTGGTGGCGGCGGCGGCGGCGACGGCGGCGGCGGCGGCGGTGGTGGGGGTGGCCG